GAGTGAGAAAGAGGAGGAGGAAAGGAAGACAGGAAGAGATTGAAAATTCCTTTGATGTGTTGGTTGATTCAGCCTGCTGTTTAGAACGCAGGAAGGTATAGTAAACATCCAAGGCTCCCACAACCACAAGCTTTGATCACAGCCACACTGAGAGATGATGCTGATGACGGAATACTAAAGAGCGGATGCTGCACACAGATTAAAACACTGATGCTACTGTACATAAAGAGACATACATCTACAGCACATAAAAACACGCGTAATCTCTGTCATTTTCACTGTGGGACGTTCTAAATTCTGTTTACACAAGCTCTGATTGTGGTCATGTCTCTAGAATAGGTCTTTTACATCCAGTTGTGAGGCAAGAGTCAAAAGACAACTTCTCCAGCAGCATTTGGCAAGCCTAACTCAACATTCATTTCACCGAATGAGTGGGGAGAATCTGCGAAACATCAGGGGATTAGGATCTGAGCAAACCTGCGTATCATCGCACAGGTTTTCATACTACAATGTCAAAAACAAATGGATTAACGTGATGGAACCAAAACTAGGACAATGCGTAAAAATTACACTAAACAACATGAACAGAGATCTGTTTTTCAAACATACTAATACATTTTTATTCAACTCAGTAGTAATTTGCTTTATTTTAAATAAAGATCATAAACAATATGTTTCTGGTCATAGTTTGCGTTGAGGATCAGTCTGAGCTACGACCATGCCAGATTTAAAATCCTTTAAAGTCTTTAAAATCCACTGAGGCACAGACATTTTTGTGTTGGCCAAGATCGATTAGCTGTGACGGCCATTTAAAATTAGGTTGACTCCAAAAGTTAATCAGTAGATATCAATCTAATCGTTATTTTTTAAAGTAAAAATAAAACTCCATCCAATGGTCTATTAGAACTTTGATAAAAGATACACTAAATCCAACAGTTAAAGTGGGGGTTATACAAATCCAACTTTTATTTTGAGCTTTATATCATGTTATGATGACAGTCCCTCATCAAAAACAGACCCTGAGTGTTGCTTTGAGTCACTCATGCATGCTTGAGAAATCCTTGAATCTCCTGTGGTAGCCATGTGGAGCTGCCTATGCTTGCTGGTACAAAGAGTTACCTGTTTACCCAAAGCTCCTCCCTGGAGCTCAGTCCCCAGCTGAGCTCCCACCCCACATAGCTCATCCCCCATGCCTCACCCACACAACTCCACTAGACCTGGGCTGTTGAGATTGTACTCAACCACTACTTCTCACTCCCATCCTTTTTGGATTTAAAAAACACCTTCACCGAGGAAATGTAGTTTTGGATGCCAAGGAGACTACCCTCTTACAATGCTCCTACAAAAGGTTGTAAACAGCATGAAGCATTGATGTGAATACATGCTGAAGTGGGAGTGTCAGAAACGGTAGAAGATTCTTAAAGATACAGATGCCAATTAGAGCTTATGATGCAATTCAATTTTATTTTTGATAAAGCTTTTTCATAACAACTGAAGTTACTGTACTTACTTGATTGTGGTATAGAATGAAAATTTGTGCCTGGAAAATACATAATATCTTGCCCCCTTATTGCTAATGTGTTAAAGGGATCCCAGATTAGTTGTAACATTAGACTTTATATGATAAACATATATTTAACTGTAAAATAAAGACTGTAAAAAACTGTAGGCTGTTTAGTTTTTATATTACACGGATGGGGCCATTTTATTTACACACAAAGCATTCTGGGTAAATGATGGCATCAACTAGGTCATCGGTACGAGGCTGCTAGCGAGCTATATCCATCCTGAAGGTTAATCTTGGACAATATCTGATGATCGACTCTTTTAAATGAAACCAGAGAGCGTTGACAGAGAGGAGAAGGTAGAAATGACTCAGCCTGGAACTGAAAATATGGATGGAGGACAACAGAGCTGCTTCATGGAAGAAGAACCTCAGCTTAGCCTGTTAGCTTTAGCGTTAGCCCTGATGCTAGCACCATATATATGTATTAGCTCAGTGCTACACATTCTCCTCTCGTCACTGAGGTCCTCCATCCACATGACAGAGAGGAAAGGCAAAAACAACTCAGCCTGTAACTGAAAATATGGATGGAGGACCTCAGTTTAGCTTGTTTGTTGCACTAGCGCCGAACTAATACGGCAATATAGCGTGAGGGCTAGCATGAAGGCTAACAGGCTAAGCTGAGGTTCTTCTTCCATGAAGCAGCTCTGTTGTCCTCCATCCATATTTTCAGTTACAGGCTGAGTCATTTCTACCTTCTCCTCTCTGTCAACGCTCTCTGGTTTCATTTAAAAGAGTCGATCATCAGATATTGTCCAAGATTAACCTTCAGGGTGGATATAGCTCGCTATAGCAGCCTCGCATCGATGACCTAGTTGATGTCATCATTTACCCAGAATGCTTTGCGTGTAAATAAAATGTCTCAGTCCGTGTTAAAATATATTTTAAAAATTTTACAAAACTAAACATCCTGCAGTATTTTTACAGTCTTTATTTTACAGTTTAAATAAATCTTTAAGCAACAGTTAATTTCAAAAGCTAGTGGCAAAGTTTTAAACAAACTTCTTGCACAATCAGTAAGCATTCAGTAAAAAAAAGTTTGAGCTCAATCTCAGCTACCAACACACTACATTTTAGCACAATGTCAATAAAATTCACTGAGTTGTAGACATTTTTGTGTTTAAATTGCCTTGCTGTGGCAGCCATCTTGAATAATAAGATTAACTCCAACAGTGATTAATTTCTGTGAGTTTTATTCAAATACATGCAGTGATTCATGAGATAATTTGCTAAAGGTAAAGATAAACAAACGCATATGAGAAAAAAAATTCTCTTCTCCTTCACCGAAGGGAAATAACAAATAGCAAGTTAACTGCAGCTGTTAACAGATTTTTGTTGTGGCTGATTTTCCTGGACTTTGGTCGCTGCAATAAAGTTACATCCCAACCAATGACAAAAAATGAAGCTTAATAATTTAAGCTCATTTGTATGAACCCCAATGTGAAAAATATTAAAAACTAATTCTTGTAGAAATCAAAACATGCTCATACTCTTCAGTAAACACACCGCCAACACACAGGTTTGTTTTTATATCCCCGTGGGGACTGTGGATTGACTTCCATTCATTTACTGGTAATTAACCCTGACCATTTACCCTAAAATTAACCTCACAGGTAAGCTACCTGACCCTAAAACTAACCTAAACTCAATTCACACCTTGGTCCTAAACCCCCCACCCCACCCCCCACCCGAAATTAGCATCCGTACCCAAGCATTGGTTCTCATGATGCACATTCGGTCCCGACTAGGCTGTCTGTTTCTGGAAAATGGTTCCCACGATGTAGCAAAAACATGCCCACACACACACACACACACCCCCCCACAGGAAGGTAAAACAGATTTCTTTCTGTAAAGGGTCATGTTACAGGTAAACAATCAAAAGAGTTGACATGTATGGTTGAATACAGGCTGAAAGGCTGTTGCTGCAGTGTACCATTGATTCCTCGGGGGGAGACCTCTGTTAGTTTGAGTCCACACTCCTTTAAGAAGGAGATGGCGACCTCCACACTGTCATCAGTTGGACGCTCCAGCAGCAGAGTGAGCATCTCCAAACACAACACTTCATGGGCCTAAAAATTAGTCATCGGACAGAGAGGAGTAATCACAACTTATAGTTGCTGAACGTGAACTTTCCATTAACAGGTAAGAAATTAGCACCTACCACATTCTGGTTGATGAGATGAGCCACAAACTTGGAGGCTGTCAGGCACTGTTGCTGGAAAATTAGATACTGGATTTAGGACAAAAATTTTACAGCTAAAAACAACACAGCACAAAACATACCTTTGAAATATGAAGATAAAAAGTGTAGCTGTGATAAACCACATTTCACACACTCAAACAACTTATGAACAGATTGGACAAACACTAAGTGCATCACATAAACACACTCTGGACGGAGTTCAAAAGCTGACACTTTTTTTAAACTCCAATTTCATTTTTATCTCAGTGGATTGGACACTCCTGACACGCNCACACACACACACACACACACACACACACACACACACACACACACACACACACACACACACGTTTGTTCTTCTATCCTCACAGGGACTTTCCATTGACTTTTATTCATGTACCGGTCATTTCTATACCTAACCCAGCCATCTACACCTTATCCTAAACCTTACCACCCCAGTACATACCTGACCTAAAACCTAACCTAAATTCAATTCACACCGTAGACCTAATTCACACCCCTGACCCGCCAACAGTATTTCCCCCAACGTGGACCAGGCTTCTATCCCCATTAGGATGAGGCTGTGTGTACCGGGAAACTGGTCAAAAATCGTCCCCACCAGGTAGCAAAAACATGCACACACACTTTTAAAAAAATGAATGATAACAATCATTTTTAGGCATTTAATTTAGAATCTGTAAGTGAAGAAAAACAACAAACAAAACTAACAAAGAAATAAACAGAACTGATAAAATCCTCATTGACCTCCATCTTTAATGCAGGCTCATTACTCGTTGTTTCCACGTTCTCTGTCCTTTATCCTCATCCTACACTGACTCCATTTCTCCACTTTACTTATTTTGTTCTTTTCGTCCTGTGCTTTTGTTCGCATTCTGTCCATCACGCTCTCTGTTTCCCTCCCCCGCCTTTCCCCTTTAGTAGTTAATCAGAGCTGATTGGGAGCAGAGAGACCTGCGAGGAGCTCCCCAGTGGATCAATGCCTCTAAATGATCTGCTCAAGGATCCTTTTTAGAAGCTGCAAACCGTGCTCTGATAGGGCACCGAAGCATGAATGTGCTCATTTCACATCTAACTCACTTCCTAATTTGTCCTCTGGGAGAGCGATAGGACCACCATTATTGGGATAATTTGTCCCAAAGCTAAATATCCCACCAACCAAGAGTGTTTAAGCCAAAATGTCTTCATTTCAGGCAACCAATTACTGCCAAAGTGAGTAGGAAAATGATGAACTTGTTTTAAAAAAATCTATCTATATGTTTGTATTCACCGCCTGAGATTGCCCAAAAACCAGTTTTATTTATTTAATTGAAAACGTTCTCCTGCGTCTCAAATTTGTCGAGCTTCGAGAAACAAGATTTGATAATGCGCCGCAGCTGAAATTCAAATTTATTCTACGTGGTGCATTTGAAAGTAAATTGATCTTGCAGGCAGAGAGCGCTGATGATAATGACAAATGCCAAGAGAAGTGGCAGCTACAGATGTCCACCAGGACATTTGATATAACACTGATTAATTTAAACACTCTGTAGAAAGTTAGAGATGTTTCTCAAAGTCAAACTGAGTAAATAATGATGCAAAAACGCAAAGATTGTCAAGTCATTCCTTTTGGGACACATACTTATGCAGAGCCAGTAAATAAAACACGTTATGAATATATATTTTAAATTATTCATGAATCAGTTACGTGTGTCAGGGATTGTGGTTAAACACCAAATAATGATTACTAAAGTACTTTTGTTAATTTAAGACAAAAGTTGTGTTTTGTTGTAATTTATAAAGTTTTTAAAACGTCTGAAATAGATTACCTGTCCATTTTTGTACCCATATTATTGTGTTGGGAGTGGACTGACCACTAACAATGGACCTCATCAGAAACGGTGTGAGAGCCTGCCTGAGGTAAACAGCACTGTACAAGAGTGTAGCACTGACAACCCTTTACGCAGTGCTTCAAAAAACAATCAAAACAACAGTAAAGAAAGAGGATGACCATCAAAGCCTTGTTTCATTTCTCAGACCAACCCTTCTCCCTGACGGGCTTCTTCAAATTCCTCGGCACATGCATCAATAACGTTTTGAAACAGAGCATCAACACCACATCATCAAAAAGGACCCAACATCCTCAGGTACTAAAAGGTATCGTGTCAAAAAGCACCTGCTGGTCCACCTCAACAACTGAAAAATATGATCTAACATCATCTGTCTCCACAGTGGAAGCCCTGACAGTCACACTAAAATCCTCACTGAAACGTCCATTATTTGATGAGAACTTACCAAAGTTACCCCACTGTTATTTAACCAGACCCTTTCATATACCAAATGCACCATATTTGGTGTTTGTGGCAACCTATGACATCTGTTAGTTGATTGTATGAAGGGGTGTTTGCATTAAGCTGAAGAGGATGAGGATCTCAATCTCAAAGTGATGGTTGGCTGAAGCAGGAAATGGATCGATGGAGCGAAACCTCATCAGCAGTAATGAGGGTCTGTCGTGATGGGGTTGAGCCAAAGGGCAAAACTCTCAGTTCAATGGTCAGTCTACGTTCAACCCCTTACCTACGTTCATCACACATGGATCCTGACTGAAAGAATGAGATTCTTAAATAAAGCAACTGAAGCAGAGGAAGTGGACCTTCCTCCATAAGGTGTCAGGGCTCAGCCTTAGAGATCAGGTGAGTTCTGTCATCTGGTGGGTGGGGACTTGGAATAGATATTCCGCTGCTTTACATCAAAAGGAATCAGTTGAGGTGGCATCTGATTAGGATGTTTGTGATTAGGCATCTTTTGGGGATTTTCAGTGCAAGTTGGCCTGGTTAAAACCAGACCCTTGTCCTTCACTTTGCTTCGTACGAGGGTCTGGATTCGCGGTCATAGAGAAGCGATTCCTGCTGGAGGCGTGGCCTCTGCTGAGTGTCGCTGTGAAAGAAGTTAAGCTAAGAAGCTAACCAGAAATCGCGAGCGCTGTAAACAACTCTACTGAGAGGAGAGAAGTACTGAGCCGAACGAGACGACTGTAAATGAGAGCTGCTGCTTTGTCAGACAAATTTAATTTAATTTGGAAGTCTTATCAACACAGACTGGCTTCATTCACTTCCTCCACTGTCGTATGCTAAACTAACTAGCAGACACTGCGCAGAAAATCAACGTTGTTCAAAACGCCGCCTTCTGTTTGCTGATTGGCCCAGATAAAATAAACTACAAGCAGACACTGCACAGAAAATCGACGTTCTGTTCTCTGATTGGCCCGGCTAAAAATCTGCCAGCGAAATCCTTGTCTATGGGAGAAATGCCAGACGGAGCAGTGAAGGGAAACTAAAATTGAGCGGAACTGCATAGGAAGGCAAGGGCCAGGCTGATTATTGTGATTATTTCCTTATAAATTAGTTTCCGTGGCTTCATTGCCTGTTGTCAGATCCTGAACCTCGTGTCTACATGGCTTCCTTCTAACATTAAATAATGTGATCATATAACTTAAATATGTCTTCCTCTTTGCACTGGATTTATCATACTGTCAGTCTAACTGGTGATTCCATACATTTCTCATTGTTTACATTTGTAAAACCTGATCTGGATTTCCCCATTTAGTTTTCCTAGCAAAATCTGTTTTTCAAAACCAGCTGCTGCAATATTTTTCATTTAATATTTTCAGATTGGGTTTATTCAGAAACAAAACACTGACAAAAGCAATTCTGTACAAGTCAAATGTTAAAAATAGCTCACAATAGTCTTGAACAACTGTAATTTAATTATTGATTGGATTACATTTTGAAACAATTACATCATCTAACTAAGCAAAAGAAAAGAAGTACAAGTGGGATTTATTTATTACATTGTTGTTACTGTCTGTCAAAAGAAACAAAAGAATGCAACAACAGATAAGACAGAGGAGTCCAGAAGTCTAGAGACAGACTGCCTGTTGTTGGATTTGTTTTTTTTTTCCTTCTTGTTCACAATAACAAAAGGATTGAATATCCACAGCCTTATCCTTTACGAGTGACTGTTTCACTCCGGTGACTCAAAGACTATAAACAAAAGTTCAGTTCCCAAATGAGCAACACGGGCACCGAGGCATTACCATAAATAAAGCCTAGCTTTCATGTGAAAAAAAACATACGTTTTAATGTTTTATAGCAACGGCTGCTGAAAAACATTCAAGCCGGCTTGAGAATTTTCATACTTTTATTTTAGTTCACAAGTTCTTTGACTGTGTAGTTGATAGAGGAATGAAGCATAAAACACAGCAAATATATACAGTGCAGTTGACTCTCCTCAATATATATTTACATTTTTTTCTGAAATAAATGCTTTAGGGGTTTGGATAATAATGTGTTTTAATGGCATCCACACTTCTCTTGAGTACCATCCCACTAGGCTTCATTGATGCACTCTGACTGCATAAAAAAGCAGATTACCATTAGCCTTGACTCATAACTCACTGAGCATTATTAAAATAAAATTAGTTATGCATACTTTTGTTGGAACCAGAGGGATTTCTATGGATTTTCTTCTGTTTTTTACTCCAAAATAAAATAAATGCCTTCAAGGATATTTTTGCTTTTCAGTAAAATGAGTCAGACACACTTTAAACATCGTGTGTCAGAGATCACTTATCGCCCATGACGATGATTATGGTTCTGCCTGTGTGTTTGTTAGTGTGTCTGTCTGTTAGCAAAATATCCCAAAAAACACAGAATAAATTTTAAAGTTTTACAAAGAAATGAAAATATTGTACATCTACAAGTAATTAACTTTTCGATTTTAACCAATTAATGACTGGCTGCCAGAGCCAAAAGATCTTAAAACACAGAAATTGCTATAATTTAGTCACTTTTACAGATAATACCTTAAGGTTTTGTGTGGCTGATACTGACCCTGCACAAATATTTTGGGCACTAAAAGATAATACTAGATAAGACAATACTTTTATTAACATTTTGTCTTTACCTACTGTAACTGATGTCAACTCTGTTTATCTTTTAGTAAAATATCTCATGAACCACTGAACAGATTTTTATGAAACTTTCAATAAAAGATTATTATTATTGGGTATACTTCTACAGCTGATGACCTCATGGAACCAATCCAGCTCAAGACGGTCATCACAGCTACTGACTTTAGAAACGACAAACATGGATAAAATTCTGACAGTTTGAAAGATTTTGTGCTAAAATTTGATGTGATTGTCGCTGACAGTCATTCACAACACATTATTCCAAGTGCTACACATGAAACCATGAGCATTCATTGTTGGAGTCAGTCCTCCTGTTTGTCTGTTAGCAAAATATCTCATGATGAACCAGTACACAGAACTTAATAAAAGTAATAATTAGATGTACTTGTACAAATGATTACCTTTGAGAGTCAACATGAATCAAGATGGCAACCACAGCTTATCAAACTTAGCTAATACATAAATATTTTTTTCACATATATTGAGTTAATTTTAGTGTGGTAGTACCTGAGAGTCATCTCAAATGCATTCTTTAAGCACAATGAGCTGTAGCAAAATCAACTTAGGCAAGTAAGTGGTGGATGATGAATGCTACCTTTTTTTTTTTACCTCCGCCAAGGGCGAGGTAATGTTTTTGGTCCCGTAGGTCTGTCTGTCTGTCTGTCTGTCGGTCTGTCATTCTGTCATTCTGTCTGTGGACAACATTACTCAAAAACTTGTGCACGGATTGTAATGACATTTTTATCACATGTGGGTACTGGGCCCAGGAACACACCTTTAAATTTTGGTGATGTTCCAGATCACGATGCAGATACAGGAATTTTTTTTCTTTGAACACTCTGAGATCGGCAAAGCTGTGATGCTTTCACAGGGCGTGGATTTCTAAGTGTCCAGCAGACGGCACTGTAGTATTGGTGTGCCCCTTTGTAACTCTATTACAGAATGAGAGAAATTGGTCTTGGCGGAGGTTTGCACTCTCCGAGTGCTTCTAGTTTGTAAAGTGAGAGTTTACAACATATTTAATGTGGGGGCACTTAATATAAATGTAACTAACATTTTCTAATTAAATTTAATTGAATACGACTATTTTCATGTTTCACATTCTGGTTTACGTGGAAGCTCATTCCAACTTTTTTTTGTTCTGTGCATTCATACAGAAATCCAATAACAAAAAGGAAGTAAATATTCATAGTTTTTCAGAGAAGTATAACATTTTTTTTTCTAGAAATCATTTCTGTTACAATCAAAATGTATTCAAGCAAACCACAAACCCCTGGCCACCAGTTCCACACACACTCCTGAGATTGTTTGTGGTTATTTTTATTCATGAAGACCATTTTTTTATTTATTTATTTTTTATATCTTTCAGGTTCTGGCATGGAGAGTACAGAGTGGCGGTGAACATCAACGACTATCTGGACATCTACTGTCCGTTCTACGAGGGGCCTCCGTCCCACGGCCGCATGGAGCGCTACATCCTGTTCATGGTCAACCACGAGGGCTACACTTCCTGCCAGCACAGGATGCGCGGCTTCAAACGCTGGGAGTGCAACCGCCCCACCGGTCCCGACGGGCCCCTGCGCTTCTCCGAGAAGTTCCAGCTCTTCACTCCCTTCTCCCTGGGCTTCGAGTTCAGACCTGGGCACGAGTACTACTACATCTGTAGGTCATCAGCTGAGTGTTTTTGTGCGTGAAAATCTCTTGAGCAAGCAAAAGACTGCTTGTCATGCAAACATGTGTGTGTGTTTGGATTTTATCCATGCTAAATATTCATTTGCAAACAGTATGTAAATATGCAATCAGTGGAAGTTGATCAAGAGAGTTTTCAAACACAGACCAGCACCACCCGGAGGCACGAACAAACACCCCTCCCCCCTCTTGTCTCTGGTTGTTGATGTATCTGTCGAGATCATAAGTGGTGTGCTCAGCAAAGTGGTAAAAATGTCACCAGGGGTACTTTGTAATCATTTTTATATTAGCTGTATTGATGTTTCTTCTCACTTCAACAAGTGATGTATTAGTGTCACAAATGGGCTTTGCACCCCTGAGAAGGTTTTTCTTTTTTTTTTTTTAGAGCAGAGTTAAAATTCTATCATTCCTCCAGCTCTCACAGGGCAGACAGACTTTAATTTACTTATAAACCGTTTTCAGACACACTTGGTACCAGAAGGATGAACTTTGTTTCTTTACGTTCAGACAGTTTTGTACGAGATCATTGGCTCATCCTAAAAAAATAAACATTAAAATTAACTTTTTAACCCTTCTTTTACATGGGAGAAAAGGACCTATCATGCTTTGAAGGAATGCAAACACCCACGGCCTTTTTCTGACAGAATTTTAAACTAAGACCATCTTGTGATGAGAAGGAACAAAGTTATAGCCATTTTGCTCAAATCTTAAAAGGGCAATATTATGTGTTTCTCAGGCATACATTTAAATATATACCATAATTTAAATACTAATATTTAAATTATGGTTTAACCATATTAAAGTATCTATGTCACCTTTAGTTGTTGTTAAAATGCTGTTTTTATGTTTAAATAGAAAATAAACTTATCTTCTCATCACTTCCTCTTCTAAACGCCTTGAAATTGGCCTCTGTCTCTTTAAGAACCACCTTCCACTTCTGACTCGCCCATTTCAGTGTGTGGGTG